AATGGCTTCTCTAGATATGTCTCTTGATGATATGATAAAGAGCAGGCGCAATAGTGATAGAGGCAGAGGACGAGGTAGGCCTCGACGTGGTAGAGGCTCAGGAGGGTCCTTTAGAGGTGGAAGGATGACTGAGGCTTCTCGCAGAGGTTCACTTGGCATAAATGCTCGGCCATCAGCTTACACCATTGCCAAGGCAAGCTCAAAATATTGAAGTCTTATACATTTCATAGACAACCTGCTATGCTATAGTAACTCATTTGAAGGACCTGTAATTTCCCATTAGAAATTCAAATATGAGAGATCTTGTGCTATTATTGGGTCCGAGGAGAAGCTAACATTACTGCTGCCTGGAAAAAGCGGTTTTATTGTAGCGCTTTTGTCCTGTGCTCTTCACAGTCTGTTCTTGTGGGTTTTTGTTCAAGGGCTTTGCTGTGGATTCTTTTGACAAAAAGTAGAAGATCGTTGGTCGCCCATTAAGACACTTTGCTACTTTGCATCTTATGTTGAGGAGTTTCTTTAGTCGAAAACTTAAGAGCTTTCAACATTTTAACATCTGCTAACCTCTAAGGGCTTGAATTTTCTAAGCCATCTTTAAACATTATTTAGCTGCCATTTTGATTGTTTAGAGGGGGAGTTCATGATGGATTGGATACACGTGCTAGTACTGTATGTGGAATTATTTTATGATGGATACCATTGCTAAATGGACTTACTTTGGGCAAGATTTCAGTATCAGTTTTATGACCTTTTTGCAAAAGTGCCTTCTTTCGCTGAACTTCAGAACTGGAGCTCTTGCCTTTTGCATAGCACCCGTCGACATGCAGTCAGCTCCATTACTCTAATTTTACATACTCAAAATTTTCCGTGGAATTAGATTATCTTGTTTGAGCATCTCGATGTGACTTCTTCGTGGAATTTTGCTGATATCTGATTTATCTTGAGGAATGGTAAAATATTATTTTCTTGGTGATATGCTGACATTTACTTTCCCAATCACAATATATTTCTGGTTTCCATGCACCAGTCCTTCCGCAGAACCAAGAATTTGCCATGGCAGAATGGAATGTTTGAAGATAGCCTTAGAGCTGCTGGGTTGTCTGGATTAGCAAACGGTACAAAAATATATGTCTCCAACTTGGACATTGGAGTGACAAATGAAGATATAAGGGTACTAGCTGAACCATTCTTCTTGACATTTCATTCATCCTTCCAATGGGTTTCTTTTGAAAATTTGTTGAAAATGGACTCGTGTCACAGGAACTATTTTCAGAGCTCGGAGAGTTGGTAAGATATGCAATCCACTATGACAAGAATGGACGCCCAAGTGTAAGTATCAGGCTTCACGCATTAATTTCCAGTGTACTTTACTTTCTTTTATGTTCTTTGAATTGTACATGTTCTCCTGACTTTGGAGTGCTTCTATTGTGTTCGAGGTAAATGTATGTTAAGATCTGTCACTTGATTCATACTCTGTTCTCTATCTCCCTGTTTGTGAAATGTGAATTAGTGACTAAAATTCACAAGAATCTCTGTGTGTGTGTGTGTGTGTGTGAGCACGCGCATGTTTTTGTGTGTTCTTGCTTAAGGGCAAAAGTTCACCTTGCATGGCAATATTCTTTGTCCAACTGGATATACTGGTTTTGATGAACTATTAGTTATCAATGCACGCCTGTTCAGGTGTAGATTTATAAAGTGGGTGAGACCGAAGATGTCATGCGCTATTATGCTCTCTTACTCTGAAATGGACAAAAGTCAGTTTTTACAATTGTATTGTAGACACACACACACTGTCAAATTTCACATTATTTGGTTGAACTATTTTACAATTATTAATGTAGAGGGCCATTTCTCGAGCAGGACACCCTTGAATTTTGAAATCACACTGATAGATCTTATTAATTTTATATGAAAACATTTTCCGATTGTGCAAGTGCAATGGCTTTGATGAGGGTGTTTCAGGTTTTTAATGTGCTGCATTGCTTATTAGCTTTTTCCCTGATTCAGCATTTACGTCATCTGCTGTTTTAATCATGTAACCACTCCTAAATTTTGAATTTTATCTTGCTTGACAATATTCTTATGACTTCACATTGGTCCCTAACAAATCTATTGTTCTACATTTTATGTTCACTTTTGCTTGTATTAGATTATTGTTGCACTTAATAGTTTTCAGCTGGAGAAGTTCAATAAATCTATTGTTATGCAGGGTTCAGCTGAAGTGGTTTTTGCTAGGAGAAGCGATGCATTCCAAGCTCTTAAGAGATATAACAATGTCCAACTGGATGGGAAACCCATGAAGATCGAAATAGTTGGTACTAATGCAGAATTCCCTGTGTCTGCTCGCGTGAATGTAGTGGGAGGAGCAAATGGAAAAAAGAGGACAGTTGTTATGACGTATGTGACTATAATACCTTACAGTTAATTTATTTAAATACTTCCAAGGTCTACTTTTTACTCATTTTTCTTCTTGATGTGGTGTTTCCTTGAGTCTTGAATACCTAAACTCTAGACCCATCAACATAATTGACATTATTAATGTATATTAAATCACAAGGACACATTTTAAAGCTTTTTGATCTTTTGCCTCACACTTCATAAATTTGTACACATTTGGTATGAAGAGTCGGTTTTTTCATCCAGTCCATCTGTGTATTTCTGAAATATTTAGGCCTCGACCTAAACATAGAAGAGGGTTTTGCGTGCATTTTCTATCATACATTCTTTTCAAATTGGGTCCACTCTAGTTGGCCAGCTTCTCTATTTTGCAAGGAGGCGTATATATGCCCGAGGATGCCAGCAAAGGTCACAGAACTTGAGTAGATGAGTTTTTCTTAGTCATTTCTCAGCTGAATAATCGAAACTTGAAGTTGAAATCTGGGTTGCTCCCTTTGATTGACTGATGCATTCTGGAAGAACCTCTATTCTCTTTAAACCCCATATAAAGATAATAATTTATTCAATGATATCCAAACAAAAGGCACCTACACTATAGTTAAAAGAAACCATATCATGTTAAAATTCAAATTGTATTCCAGATTAATTTTGTGGTTATGAAATGACAAGCAATTATTATATTTAATTAATAAAATGGTGCAAACGATATCAGATGTAATTGCTGAGATAGAAATTTCATTGATGCTTCTGAATTTTGACGCGATTTAGCTGTATAGTTGTTTTAAGATATTAACTTGTACAACAATCTTCCTGAGATAGGAAAATAGAATTGATATGGTTCTACTTCCATAGTAGCAAAGCCTATTCATATTATTATAATTTAAGTTTTATTTATATGTTGGCTCTGTTAGCATTCTTGTAGCAGGAGCTGATAGTTCTGAAATCTGAAATATGCTGTCTTGTTTAGTTCAAGCAGTGTTGTGCACAATAATTATATTGGTCCGTGTGCAGTTGCATTTTTTTTTTCGGGGAGGAAATTGATATCTGTTCAGAAGATCTTCAGCTTAAATTTTATTTGAATAGTAACAATAGTTCCATCATAAGTTGTCTTATATTTAGTCAATTAATGGGAGCTAGCAAATGTGCAGGCCTGGACCAGGTCGTTCTAGAGGTGGCTCGAGTTCTGCTAATCGTTATCCTGGGTAAGCTGTCCTTTAGCACCTACTCTTGAGTTGGTTTCTAAACTGTTATTGAATTACATTTGGTCACTTCTTGAGCAAGGAACGTGATTAGTGGTAATAATACATGTTGAAATGCCTAAATCTTCTGAAATATGAAATTTACTAGGGTAAATTCCATTTGAAGTTGTCCTCTTCTAAGCAATGCCTGCTTAGAGGGACAAAACTACCAAAATGTAATCACTAATCAGGAGCTTGGTCTTCCTCGAAACATAATTGGAGTCTAAAAGTTTACTTTCATGGAAGTGAAATTGGTTCCTAACCTGAAGGAGACTTCAATGTAGTTCAGCAATCGATTTCCGACTACAAAAATCGTCCAACACACTGTTAGAATATCATTTGGTCCCGGCATGATCAACTTTATGATGGGCAAAACCACAAGGTTGAAACTCTAAATTGTTTCACACTTCATAAAGTTGGGCATTTGAGCGTTTTAGTAGATTTTTGGAAAATTTGTATTATTGAGTCTGGTTGTGCAATTCGAAGAGTCGTCTGGATCTATCAATGCTCTAACCAGCATGCATTGGCTGCACAGTTTGCAGTCACTGTCATAAAAGTTAGAATGTTGGGTTCTAATAGCATGAAGGGCGTGGTCTTTTTTTTTTGGGTTAAAGGGGTTTTATTTATGGTGGTGATGATTCCTTCCTTCAAAATGGTTGTGTTTGCTTCTAAAATTGGATTTCTTGGCTGATTAAAAAACGCTAGTAGTCAGTCAATTATAGTGAAGTTTCATGTTGGTCTTTAAACGTCATTTTGTTTTTAAGAAATCATTGAAGTTGATTTTTTTGTTTTAGTTTGGTCGTTCAGTTAGAATATTCTGGTTTTTCTACTGAAACTGCTGATGTGGCATCTGACATGGAGGTCCTTCACGCTGGACATTACTTTGAAAAGAAGTGTTTAGCTGACCAAAATGAATCAAGAAGCTAACTCCAGTAACCACTCAGGAGTTTGGAACCAAATAAAGTTTATCGACCAACATGAAACTTCGTTGAGTAATAGGCATGGCGTGTTTTTGCCCCATTTATAGGCTTCCTAACCCTTGCGGTTTATGAAGTTCGAGTTTGTTAATATGCACTGCTGTATCTTTTTATACAGTCAAAATATCCGTGGTGGTTTGAGGAATGGACGTGGAGGCGGACGTGGACGTGGAGGTGGAGGTGGACGTGGCAGAGGTGGTGCTCGCTGGAGAAAGAGAACTGCCGAAAAATCGGTTGGTGAACTTGACAAGGAGCTTGAGAACTATCATGCTGAATCAATGCAAACATGATTCGATGTCTCTACCTTCCAAGCATTTTAGTAAAAAGCAACTAGTATTTAGAATTACAGTTGTACGAAGTTTGAGATGGGTTATGTGCTTTAGTATTGTTCGAGTTTCTTCTTTCTTGCTCTGTAAGCGAAGCGGAACTGAAGTTAATTTCATTATGGCTTTCCTGGGTGTTACCATTCGTTCTTTTCCTATGTGCTAAGTTCTACCTATACATGATTATCAGTACTTTGCACAGAATGCAAGATAGAATTTCAAGAAAAATCCAAGGGATCTTATGATCTAATCTTGGCAGGCTTGAAAATCGAATTTGGGCATTTTCTTTTTGTTCAATCCTGCGTCTTGAGTCTCCATCTTTTATGTAAGTTAGCTATTTCTCTTCCTTGCCTTGTCGGTTACTACTCGACTCTTCCTTTTGTTATGAAAGGAGGCAGCCTCCCCATTTTTGAACACTCTTTACGTGATATGAACCTGCTAGTGTTGGACGAGTTACCTATTATGAGTGGATATGTTCTCAATTATAATTATGGTAATGGTGAAAGGTTAAATCTCCTATTGTATTAGTGTCTTACAGTTGGACAAACCAAATATAACACACCCCAGCAAGTCAAAAACAGAAAAAAACAATAGAACTATTGAAGGTGCGTTTGATTGCATGGGTGGAAAGAAAATGTTTTACATGGAAAAGATTTATTTAGAAAATGTTTTACATGGAAAATGATTTCAAGTGTGTTTAATTGGTATGATTTTTCACCCGAAAA